GCGCACGAGCCCTATAAGAAAAAACCCCCAAAAAAAAAAAAAAAAAAAAAAGAAGAAGAATGAAAAAAAGTAATAATAATCTGAAAAAATGAAAAGCTGTTTGATGATGATGATGATGATGTGGATAGTAATGTCTTTGTCTTGACTGGTATGCATGGGAATCGTGCTGGAAAAAGAAATGTTATACACTGTAAAGATATATGTGATTAACTGTAATGTAAAAAGAAAACAATAAAAAAAGATGAATGAAGTAAGGTTGTGCATAGACGGCCGCTAAGATGGTTCTCAGTGGTCCCTACATCCTGGTATGTATGCCCGCATCTGGAGTAGAGCTGAACCTTGTGATTCACCTCTAGGCATGCAAATGGCAAAAGTGATCAATGTCACTTCCAGGATGTGTTTACTAAAAGCCTCTGACATCTGTCTTGCTCACCCTTTCTTCTCTCATCGCTTGCTTTGATGAAAGCCAGCTACCTTGTTGTGAGCTGCGCTGTGGAGCAAGACCCAGGTAGCAAGGAACTGAGGAAGAGCCCCCAGCCAATGCCCAGCAAGGATCCGAGGTCCCTGGTCCAGCAGTCCAGGAGGAACTCAGTGTTGCCAGCCACCACATGAGTGAGCGTGGGTGTGGAGCTTCTCAGTCGAGCCTTAAGGTTATAGAAAGCAGATACCTCACTGTGTAAGCCATGTGAGACCCTGAGTTGGAATACCTAGCTAAGCCACTCCAGGATTCTTGACCCACAGAAAATGAATTCTTTTTTTTTTTTTTTAAGAGGTTTTTGCTATAGGGCGAGTGCGCTCGCCAGACAGAGAGAGACAGAGAGACAGAAAGCGAGAAATCACCCCCCAGGGGGGATGGTCACGCCACAATCCCTTCTCCTCCATTCTCCTCTTGGGATCTTGGGCATGCACACACACGCGCCCGGCGTGAGTTTAAAGCCACCGGGTCCGGGACACGAACCGCGGTCGACTACGTGGGAATCCAGCGACATAGCCATTACACTAACTGCTGGTCCCAGAAACTGAATTAATATATGTTTGTTGCTTTATTCTGCTAAGTGTGGGGGATGAGGATTTTGTTACGTAGCAATAGATAATTAACAGGTTGTAAAGTGCTTAACCTAGTACCTGGCACATGTACCTTCTCTGTAAAGGGCGACTATTATTGGGGGTTAATAATGGTTTCGTTTGCACGGAGATTATACAGTGATAACCCAGTCTCTCTGCTTCTACTTGTTTTCAAATAAAGAAGATTTTGGACCACACAAAAAAAGAATGATCTATTTAATTTTATTTATTTATTATTATTATTGTTGTTGTTTTTATTTGGACCAGAATGAGAGAGAGAGGAAAAATGTGAAAG